AACTAGGAACGTGTCCTCCTTTAGACCAGACTGAAATGTTAACTGTAGAGGCAGAGATCCAATGCAAGCTAGCCGAGAACCGTTCGCTGTCGTTAAGCACAGTATACTAGACCTTTTGTCTAGTTTAAAGTGCTGTCTACGTGACAGTACTCGCGGGTTTACTAATGATCTACTCGCCCCAGTGTCGATTAGGGCTTTAACAAGCTTAGCATTTACGTAAAGCTCAGTGCAAAATGGTTCTACCAATGTATGAAATTGAGATACAATTGGAATCGAGTACGTACCCGGTGTGGTTTGTTCGCCGAAGGAAGGTGTTCGTTCATTGTTGCATACACAGACTTGCGGGTTTGAAAAACGATTATACCCTCCACGTCCGGGGAACTGTGGCCGTTGGAATGCTGCAGCCCGGTTTGGCGGGTTATAGCTGAACCGGCGCCAGTTGTTGTTCTGTGGTCCTCGTACTGGGTTTTGCGGGGCAGTCGGCTGGACTGGTTGAGTAGTCGGTTTCATTAACTGTGTCATTTCCGAGTAGTATTCTACTTGGCTCCCCGCCTCCTGTAAATTCTAGGGTGGTTGAAGGAGCAGTGAACGACGCAGCTCCATTGGGTTTAGATTCTTCACAAAGAAGTGTAGGGCTGCGTCATGACAGTCCGTCTCGGAGACCGAGGGATAGGCTGCTCTGCAGAGACGCCGTAATTCCGCTGCATTCTCATTCGGGGTTTCGGCCGGTAGTATACAGCGTGTATACATCTGGTCCATGGCCGCCCCTTTTGATATCTTCGGTTTCAGTACATTCTTCAACTGCCGGCACAGTTCTTCTACGGGTGTGTCCTCGTCAAGGCCGGCATCCAAGGCCTTGTCTAACTGGGACTTCGTCAGGCCTTGTAGGATAGCCACGCTTCTATCCTGGCTGCGCACTACACGGATTTGAAGTTGCGCACGGCATAGCCAGGTCGAAAAAACCTCTTTTTTGTCATATCCGGGCAATTTGAGCTGAAGACTACTGCCAGAAGAACAAACTGCATTTTGAAAAGTGGAGTTCGTAGGCACCGGTGCCACCAATGTAGCGCCCTCCACTCGTAG